TTATTATTATTATTATTATTATTATTATTATTATTATTATTATTATTATTAATATTGTTCTATTGATTTCTATTGTGCCTTGCCAATTTTATATTTAATTTCTTCCATAAAGGTATCTTATTTCTTAAGTAAGTAAAAGTGTCACTTATTCTATTATTTTATCACTATTTTGGTTCTGCAGTTTTCTTTTCCATTTCAACATTGGTTTTACTTTCTCCCTACATCTTACGTAGTAGAGAAATGATGCAGGAAAAAGCGGCGAATTTTAGGCAGAAAAACTCTTATTGCCGAGCCGAGCAGAAAAACTTATTAACGAAAAAGAACCATATAATACTAACAAACTATAATATGGTTGCGGTCTACATTTACATTACTCGAGTGATCCACACCTGACCGTATTGTCGGTCACGGCAATATCCCGGCTGCCCTGGGTGGAGGAAACATTCGTGATATCGAGCCGTATATCAAGCAGAATATCATGCATAACACAGTTTAACAGTGGATGATTTTGAATTTATGGGTCAACTAGAAACAAATTATTAAATCTATCTTAACCTAATTTTACATAAAGGGGGTGTTGACCCCTACAGGACGCGTGCGCTAGGAGCAATATTCTCGAACGACATGGATGCAAAGGCTTTCACTTTTGACTAATAACTTTTAGCGGGCCGCAACAAATGGCACCGCAGGCCGCCAGTTGGGCAACCCTGGCCTAAACCATACGTACGATTTTCTTTTCAAAATGGATATTCGCCTGTCGATCTGGTTCGACTCGAAGCTTTGCGATTTTGAAAAACATTCTTTAAAATTAGGGGGTACTTTAGATGAAGCTCAAACATGACATTTTCAAAATTTTCTCAAAAGTGGCTCAACATTTTTTCCTTTACATTACAAGAAATAAAGTAAAATACACTTATGAAGATAGCACATGTCAATTTTTCACTGCTAACTTTGAATTTTCAAAAATTTCAAAAGTTTGAATTTTTCTGGCGTCTTCCTACAACGACAAAATTGAAGATAGAGGTTTTTCCGTCAAATTAAAGATGTTGTCCATAATTAGTTCTTTCATTAAGACCATGTCCATTTTTTGAAAATTTTAGTTGTTTTCGCGCAAATATTGCGGGCGCAATCACTAAAAAACAACATTTTTTTGCAAATATTGGCTATAATTATTTTCATTACAATTTTGGTGGGGATAGTGATTAATGTACTTTATAAGATGACATAAACGTCATAATGTTCTTTTATTTTTTCAAAAATTACAAAAATGTAATTTTTTGACTTGTCTCTCATGACGTTAATATTTACATGAGCGACGATTTGTTCAAATTATTGCATTTATGAGTACATGTGCTTCAAATAATGTGTTATAAAGTTGCTATAAAACTGAAAAGTTTTATTTGAAAATGAGCTCAAAATTCCGAATTTTCAGAAACACTCGAACTATATTTTCTGAAAAACGGCTCAATTTTTTTTCTTCAAACTTGCCATACGTATAATGCGAAATAAACTGTATAAGATGATATAAAAGAAATTTTTCTGTATTCTTTTGATGTTTTTCAAAAATTAAACAAAAGTATTTTTTAAATATATCTCACGCCTTTAATATGCACATATCCAGCTATTTGACTGTATTACTGCATTTGTGAGTGCACTTTAAATGACATCTAATAATATTTTTAAAAACTCAAAAGATATTTGTAAAAAGAGCGTTCAAATTTTCTTAAAAACGGCTCCAAAGTTTTTAACGTAAATTTTCATACAGTTCGAGGTTGTACTCTTCTTTAATATTCTTGAAATAATATTTCGATTCTACCATTAGGAAACCGAAAAATCAAGACAATAAAAAAACAACTTTGGGTTGATAGATTGCAGTTGGCAAGACCTAAAAGACCCAGAACCAAGCCTAAGAAATTATAAAACTAACTAGTATGAAACTAGATAGTATGAGAATGTATATGCCATTCTGTAGCCCCACTAATTGTTTTGCTATTGAAATTTTACTTCCTTATACCTTGCTAATCGTGATTTACATATATATTACACACACACACGTACACACACACACACACACACACACACACACACACACACACACATACATACATACATACATACATACATACATACACATACTGAATATTGGAATACTGAAAATTTGTTCAAAATGTATTTTCTTCAGCACATATTTGTTATTTAAGGTTGCATCAACATGTAGGTCATTAGCGACCACTATTGGTTTTCACGTTATGGGTAACTGTGAACTAGATGGAATATGGTGGTGATGGGTGTTGAAAGGACGATCACAAATACAATCATGCCCGAGACGAGATTCGAACCCGAGCGAAATCATTACGGCACTACTCCCCTGGCGATCTCGGCCACCGGATAGGCTCAATACATTTCATTAAAAAAGTATTCAACTTATGTTGAAATATGATATACTTTAAAATGTAATAATAATAATAATAATAATAATAATAATAATAATAATATAATAATAATAATAAGAAGAAGAAGAAAGAAGAAGAAAAGAAGAAGAAAGAAGAAAAGAAGAAAAAGAAGAAAAAGAGAAGAACTGACACTATGAAATGGATGCACGAAAGTAAGGGGCTTTAATCATCTTAATTATCAGAGATCAGAGAAGATGGCATTCAAAATAGGAGCACATTTAGATCTATCTATCTACATTTAGATTTATACTATTAGATAATGTTCAGTCATGGCAGATTGATTTGGTGGTAACCAGATCGATTGGGGAATATAAATTTGGGAGAAATTCGGCTTAACGGTTTATCCACTAGCGTTGTTCATAGACAGACGGACGGACAGACGTTTTGCTGTAAATCGATTTTTCGGTATCAAGGACCCAGAAAAAAAATATATTCTGGTTACACCACGTGTTAGAGAATTCTTTTCTCTAAATTTAGCAACTGGATTTATTCACTTTTTCGTTAATAGGGCCTCATAATAAGAGTTTTTCTGCCGTGTTTTCGCACAGCATTACATAACTTTCTCTTTTTAAGAAGTTCCTTCTTAAGCGTGAGTAAGAAAACACATATTTAGGGGTATATTATCATAATTTTAGAATTATTAATTTTATGAAAGGACGTTATGATGATTATCGTTTGCAACAGGTTTTGAAATCTTAAATCTCGGCCACGTCATATCCCCTACACAGTAGCGTAGGCTCTATTGATGCGAGTGATGTGTCGAATCCTCAAGTTTTCGTCCGTTTCAAAACTTTTGTTAAAAATGTTTTTTTCTGCTTCTCAAGTATATTTCTTTGTTCCGTTTGGACCTTCTGTTTTTTTCCCGCTTTCCGGTAGGCGTCTGTGATCATGGATGTGACAGGCCAAAAAACATGCCTTCGACGGCTTCGATTCGTTACCAAGGTCATTGAACTCTCACCATACGATCACCATCTCGGACTTCTCATTGGCAGTGTGTATCCCCCCTCCCAAAGCTATTAGTGTGGATCGCCTCCTTTGGGCACCTCTCTTCTTTGGAGACTGGGAAGTGGGAACCCTAGTGGCCACGTGCTAGAACGACTATAACGTCTGGGGTGGTCTGGGGAATATACTCTCTGCTGGGGACTCCATAGCGGGTTGGGGGAGGGATATCTTAACCACCCTACACACGTATGCGTACTCATGTTTGCCAACTGTTCTGATCCAGTACGTGATTTAGGAGAGGTGTGTTGTTAGAACTAACAATCGACCGCACGCGGCAGATAGGCCTTGTTGCCATGTTTTTCACGTGTACTATGGGTTTTTGCGAAAATGCTGTTTTTTTTGAAACTGAACTATAGATAATAATTTCTACAAAGAAAAAATCATAGTTTTGAAAGTAACGCGATAATTAGAAGCAACAATTTTCGTGTGAATAGATGAGACATGGCAAGCAGATGATTTGTAGTAAAGGGAGTTTCACGAGTTGGGAAACGGTGAGTGAAAACTCTCAGTCCTTTGAAAAGTTTAAAAAACGCTATTGTATTCTAAAGTACGCTAGATGACTACAAATTGGCCTCTAATTATACAGTTAGGTGTATTGTTTGTGTTTCAATGTACTCTTTTGTTTATTACTGCCACCTGCTAGCTTATCATTTTTGGCGCGAATTAGTCTTGTTCTGCGATCATGAAATCTTATTGCTTTTCTAATGCTTTCAAATCTATTTACAGACATTGCAGCACTGTATACAGAATTCTCTGTTCATCTAAAAATAAGTCTCCGATAGGTACATTCAAGTTTTTTTCCACTCCAGCTAATAAAAGAATTCCTACGAAGCATTTATTTCACTCACAGAAACTGTTTTTCCACATTTAATTTTTCTGTGCTGATATTCTTTTGCCTTCCAAATTTGCACAAAGGAAAATTTATTCTATAATTTCATTAGAAATAAAGTAATTCTAAGCTTGTTTTGGATTCACAGTAGTAACACCTTTCTTGGGGCTAGGAATACCTTTGTAATAGGTTAAAACATTTATCGGTAACATGCGTCTTGAACCCTTGTTAACAATGCAACCTTATGTTTGTTAAGTGCACTTGCAGGTTAAGAAATTTAAAATCCTTAGCAACGGGTTTTAACACTTTTAGCAACCTAAATAAACAACAAACGACTCATGGCAGGTCAACATTATTACGAAAAAATCACATGGTAATTTACAAGACAAATAGTAATCAAAGAATAATATACCCATGAGGTTGGATCATGTATACCTGCGACTGTAAAACAAAGGGTTGTCTTTATAAAAAGAATGTGTAAATTACCTTATCAAGTTCTTTAAAGTACGCAAGCATTACATCTTCTGTACTCACGGCCACGTGATTTTGTAATTGCCGAGTTTTAAATTCTTCTCGTATTGTGCTTTAGATTTTTGGGGGATTAAATTTCGCGTGGCTTCCGCAGCTGCATCCAAAATTTCTCGAGGTAGACGAATTTTCAGCGTCCTTCTCACACGACCCACGGTGTACATGTGTATTGTTGAAATAGATATATCGCAAGGAATACCCAACAATATCGATTATTGTGCCGCAACAACAGCATTGTTTTTCATATCGCAGTAATGTCGTAAATTTTCTCAAAAAAAAAATTGAGATTTTATGGTGATCGATAAAACGCTGAACATACCACGAAATGTTAGTGTGATTACTGCCTCGTCCAAATTAAATATCTCGGCTCCGCCTCGATTTTTACCTTTTGGCATCGGCAGTAATAACACTCATAACATTTCTAGGTATGTTAATAGCTATAACTTGCTGAACCACCATTCCGGGAACTTCTTGACCACCGCGGTATAACGGCGCGCCCCTCGTATATTGTCATTATGAATATATCTTTTTTGTAAAGGATTCATCCTGTTAATAGAAGTAAATAAACACATCCTTCCAAATTAATGCACTTTTTTTTATACCTCTTCGCTAAAATCTAGCATTTGTTTCAAGTTTGCAAATAGAGACTAACATAAAAAAGAACCATCTTTTTAAAATTAGCTTGTGGACATCCTTATAAGATATTGAATTTTCGGTTCCTTACTATACCATATGGGGAACTTTTACGCCGGCTTTTCCCTTGCAGGTACAAAACTGTTTATACTATCATAAAGGTGATAAGATGTCAGCTTATAAAAGATCATTTGAGTATAGATCACAGAAAAAAGTGGTAATGGCAAATTTTATTTGAGCTGTGTGATCAGATAAACAAAAGTCAATATTAAAAGAGCTATGGTAGGGCTGTAATGGGTTGCTACAATTTGGTCTTAATGACATATTAAAGACCAGCAGATCATTTAGTTCATAATGGTAGTCTCCTCTCCTCTTCTGATATGTTTTACTGCAAATATATTGGACATTAAAGAGGCCCTACAGGGACACCATCCTTTTAAATACAATAGTTTGACTGTAATTTTGGAACTAATGGTGCTACAAAGTTACACAGATTTTCTCGTACGGTACTAATGAGTTCTCGTTTCTTACCACCTGTGCTAACTTTCCAGTTTTGCCTTATCCCCTTCCCGCCCCCCATCTATTGGCGCCGATGGGTTTCAAGGGCCTCACATGGTAACTAGCCTTTGCCACTAGCCACTCAGCCTTTGGGTCTGAGTAGAACTTGCCCCAACTGTCCTGCTGACTCAACTATACTATTTGTAAAGGACTGTAAAATAATTTTATGAAAGTTAATATTTCTAAGTATATTTATAACCCAGATTTTTGTTGTGCATATGCTAACCACCAATAACTTGCTGTGCAACACTACTTCATTCTTTATAAAGGCAAGGCATCACGTGAATGTCCAACCACATCCGTTTATGCACAGATATTCTTAAATCTTGGTTAAAATCCTATTTACCTGCTCACACAATAGTATTCTGTTTTCTCATTCAATTCAACTTTATTAGCTACATTTTTAGTCGGCCCGGTTCAAGTCTTCTGGGCTGTCCAGGAAATGCCATGTCATTTGCTGAGAGACTGATGTTTCACCTGTCATGCCCAGGCTTACTCAGGGCAGCGACCAATGACTCAAGCTGTGAAAGCTTAAGTTTACATACCAATTCACATAGCTTCTTTATACCAATTTTTATTTGTCATTTGCATCCCCCCCAACAATAGATTTTTTTGGGTCAATTCTTAAAACTACCTTCAGAGGTCTAACTTTAAACACAAACATTAGACATTACAGAAGTGAAATGTCAAGAAACTGCTGTGTTGTAACAATTGTTTCTCAGCGAAATAACATAAAAATAATTTGTTCATTTGAGGAAGACATCTTTTCGCCATCTGAAATGATCACTCGGTACATAAAAATGACTCAAGATAACTCTTGGGATAATTTATTATTCTAACAATTATTAGCCGTTCCAATTGCACAACTGTCACTTTCTACAAATAATATGCCTCACTTACTTGGCTTGTGCTATGCTAAATTAGTAGAAAATCACTTTGAAAGAAAACAAGAAAGGAAGAGCGATATCAGGAAAGAAAAACTACAGGAAGGAATGATGTTCAGTGATGAAGACCAACAATTTTATCTTGCTTCCTCGATGTCCTGGTATCCCCAAACTTGTTTCTCTACACTGATTTTTGGAATTACAATATTTTGTCCAATGTACAATACATTTAACAGAAAGTAATACAAAACATACTGTAAGTTACAATAATCTAAAAGGAAGAGGGGAAAATGCTGAAATGACAAATTGCTCACTCAACTTAGTACATACACTTTATTGGCTACTTTGAAGCTAAAGGCTCAACCGTACAGTATCAAGGAGCATCAGAAGGATCTTTCATTCCTTCACATGTTCATTTGCTCATACACTCGCTCATTCATACATCCTCTTACTTTTATACGCATACTTTTTTCCTTTTACCTTCTCTGTGCCAACACATAAAATGAGAAATCAAATGACATATCAAATACCTAAAGCATGATTACATAATCAGAATATTCATATGCTGTATAACCATACAGCACGTCTCTCTACTTGCTGAAGTACTTGGTAGCGTTGGGGAATCGCTCCGGGGTGAAATCTGGATTGTTACTTAGAGAGTCCTGCACAGCTGAGCGCACCTGCTCACGATATGCTGCCTGCAACTCCAGGTCCTCGCCTGCTGTCTCCACGCCTGCCACGGGGCGAACACCTGCCTCATCCAGGGCAGAGCGCATGCTCTCTGCAGCATAAACATATTTACTTTACCACACAAGTACTTTCATAACATAAAAATACAAGAAAATGTTTGAGAGAGAAGAGAAGTGAAGTAAAGGAAAGTAGAGGAAATTAAAGAGAGAGTACATAGAAGACACAGACACTTGAAATTTATATTTTGTACACAACTAATTGTGTTTCTTATTTAATTATATTTGTATTATTTATCTTTTGTAATATTCGTATGAATTGTGTTTAATTTTTCACCAATCACTGACTGTGGTAACACATCAATGACTGATCAGATGAGTATTGAGCTGAAATACCGTATTTATCCAATGTAAGCCGACTCTGAAGACAACCCTCTAAATTTTGAAGAGGCCTCCAAAGAAATTTTTTAAATTTCTAATTCTTTTTATTTAGTCAAAATAAAATTGCAAATTGTCTCATTAACTAGAAAATTGCCTTGTTGGTGAGAATAAGACTTATTACTCGTTATCATTTTCTTGTTCCTTAAAGTCGTCATAATCATGGTTTTGGTCACTACCTTCGTCTTCGCATGTATCAATGTTTCTTTCTTTTTAGTCCTCCTTCCATGCTGTTTTTGTTAGAGGACTGAGTTGGACCCAACAAAGTTTTGTGCACTTAATATATTTGGGTAAAAACAGTACTTTTGTGTGCAATGCACAAGGGGTTTGAAAGAAGTTCTGAAAATTCTGAAGTACTTATCAAAAATGAAGGAGAAACTAGACACTCTGGATAAAGATGCCAAATCGTCAAAAACTTAAGAATAATACAAATGAATGAATAAAAAACATTGAAGGAAGGTGGAGAAGCCTAAAAACTGAAAACAAGAAAAATAATTCTGTTGTTGGTGCCAAGAATCCTGATGCTCTATGCCATGAGTTAATAGAGAGGCAACACAGGGGTAATAATATTATATTTTATAATCTTGCAGAAATAACAGATCAAATCTAGATACACATCTTAAACAAGATTGAGCTCTTTTTGAACAAACCTTGGGTAAAATGGGTATTGTTGAATTAATTATTATGAAGTTTATTAGGATTCCAACTAGGAAGGAAGGAAGAATTATCACAACCTCAAAGTTGTTTTTGGTGCTCATGAGCTGTTTTCAAGATTCATAAAAATAAAAATAAATTCAAAGATACATTTAACTTCCAAGTGGATTAATTAGTTCTTATATTAATTAAAATTATGTTACGTCATTACAAAGGCATAATTTGAGAAAATTGGGGAAAAGAAAAAATGATTTGTTAATTAAAATCAGTCATTTACAAAGAATCGTCTGATTTAATTTGTTTCCTCCCTAATTATTTCTCAAATATGAGAATAATGTATGTATAAGTATTAGTCTAAATCTATGGATTAAATCCATTCCCAGTCCTCTCTCTTGTAGTTTAAATTCTAGTTAGACTCAGATCTCCTTACTACTTAAAATAAAAAGGTGTAGGGGGAATATATATATATATATATATGAAAAGGACAAAGTTCTTCATCTCATGTGCATTTAAATGAATTCTTACCTGTGATTATCTGGTTGAGGTTGCCCTGTGGTTTGGCTGAAGTGACAACTTTACGCCTCTTGGAGGGCATCCCAGACAAATATGCATCGCTGAAGGGAGTCTGAGGATTCTGACGCCGCTGGCGCTGAGAGTCACGGGCAATTATTGGAACCCATTCCTGTTGAACCACAAAGAGCAGACATAGATAATTCTAAATTTATAAATCAATTAAATCTTAGTTAAGGGAAGTTGTATACTGAATCAACTTCATTTTAAGTTCAAGCAAATCTCTCTTCAAACCACAAACTTACAGTGCAATGAACAGTCATTATCTGAAAGAACACCTAAAAGTTTGTTCTTACACTTAGAATTATGTTGTTTGGATCAATTTTGAAGATTAAATCATCCCTCAGAGTCAAAGGACACTTTGCTCAGCCTTGCAGGTGCAAGCCACTACCTTAACAAAAAAATCTATTTGGGGAATTTTTAAAAATAAATCTGTCAGTATGAATAGTTCCGTCTGAAAGAAGGTCCTCATTCATCACATAAACAAAAAACAAAGAAATAATTAACTTCAGACCCATTTAGAACAAGCATGTGTCCAAAACTTTGTGAATCTATTACAATATAATTTTGTTCTTTTACAATATATTACATGATTTGGATGGGATAATTTATATTATGCAGCAAAATTAAACAATTTTTTCTGTTCATAGTAATTTATATTAATCGGATATAATTAAAAACTTTTATATAATAATTTATATTAATTGGATATAAGTAACTATTGAACATCAAATTAACAGGATTAAGACAAGTATTTCATTGGGTTGAAATTCGTACTGTATTTAAAATTGAAATACAAAACTGATACAAGCTTATCATAACCTTAACTTGAGTTACAAATATTACCTTTTTACTATTACAAGAGATACCTGGAGAAATGCTGTTTATTTAAGGGCATGATCTTTCAGTTCTCCATTATTAAGTTACAACTAGGCTACACTACATATCTGTCAGATGTAAATTCTAGTTTTTCCAAACACCAATAATGATCTCTTCGCAAGGCGAAAGCGAGTCTGAAAATCAATTTCATCGGAATTTTGCTAAAGCTTCGCTTAACAATCTTAAGCGGATGAGGTGAAACCAGTGATTAAAGGCATATATATGTGACCAGAACATCCTTGGGAATGAAATTTGTGTCAACAATAGAACAATCTTACCGATGGCAGAACATTGTGCCAAGCCTCAGAGCCCAGCACTACATCAGGCAGCGGCTCCCCATCCACACTCAACGGTGGAAGCGGGGGACTACGGGGGGAACCTGCACCTGCGCTTGCTGTCTCAGCAACCGCTGCCACCGCCCCCTGGGCCTCAACAGTCACGGGTGCTGCCTGAGCAGGGATGGGTGCAGGTGCCTCCTCGGGGCTGGGGTCTGTATCCATGGGCTGCAAAAAGGAGAAGGGGTAAAGTGGCCCTCACTCAGCATGTAATACAAAATATACAATTCAAGCTATTTCAAGCTTGTTATATTCAAATCATTTTACAGAACAAAACATCTCATTACATGAAAAAGCAACTATGGACTCAAAATAAAACTATCAGAGTAGAAATGACGTGGAATAAAGTACAGGCCTTAGGCCCTCTAAGGATTGGTAAAGAGTTAATTTAAGAAACGAAGAACAGTATGAGCACTAACTTCTGGCGTTGGTGTGGATGAGTGGTCAGTCTTCATACTTGAGGGCGTGCTGGTGCTAAAGGACCTTTGCTGTGGTCCAGAGTCAGTCTGCACTGGATGTACTCGATAAACTAAATATTCTCGAATTTCATCAAATGCAACATTTTGACGCTGCATATAACCTTGCATGTGGCTCACAAAACTGTCAGTAGTCCACACCTGCAAAGCTGGATGGATGCCTCTTGTCACTTCAGCCTACGGGAGGAGGGGAGAAAAAAGAAAGATAAGAAGAAGAAGAAGAAAAAAAAAAGTGTTTACTTGCAACATTCACACTGCCCAAGATAGACATCTACAATACTGCCGCAGTTTTTTGACCAATGGTTAAAAATGTATTAAAATCTATGAGGATGACTGCACAGCATAGATTAGTCATATGTGTTGTGTGTTATGGTTTTGGCAAATTTACACGACTTCATACAAAAGGTGATTGGTGTTGAGGGAATAAGGCATTTCTGTGTAACTAAATGGATGGTGAGATATATTTCGGGATTCAAGTGGCTTAGAAATATTTCTTTTCAAATAACACTTACCACATAGCCACGAAGAATTCTGTCAAGTCCTTGCTCTCCATCTAGACAACAATGCAAAACAATGGCACTTAATTCTCGCAGGTACCTGGTGAACCATCTCACCATGTTATGGCCAAAGTTCACCTCATTTCCTGCAACAAAGCATTTTTCAATTCATACACACACCAGATGAAGCACAGACAATCAGATCCAACATGCAAAACAAACTACACTTACCTTCTACTATTAATGAAATGAGTTCTGGTATTCGAATCTGGTTGTAGCGAATTGTGGTAGTAACCAGATCTACATCTTCCCGTAATCTTACTTGTTGCTGAGAGAAACAAAGTATGCATGTTAAAAAATATTCTTCAGAATTTAGATTTCATAAAAACACAGAAATAGATTTCCGTCTGATATCTGATAGATATGCAAAAGTGTTCTGACTAAAAAAAATATTTGATACATTTCACATGTCAACAGCATTATTGAAACAAAGAATGTGAATGGCATTCTTAGCTTAACTTTGATACTATATTTAAATATGAAATCAATTTTTGCCTTTCAGGCTCAGTTTTCTTGTTACACACTACTCTCTATTTATGGAAATGCTTGAAAACACTGCATTTTGGTTAATTTGGTGTAGTTTCATTTAATAATTCTGCAGATGTAATTATTCAGAAACAATGGAAATTGGTACTAGAAATTTCTATACATGGCAATGAGTCATGATTGAAAAGATAGAATCGTGTTTCGTTTCTTTAGATTTGGATTTATTTAGTCAAAAAAACAGTAAAAATTGTATGTGACGTATGTTCTTGCCAACATTGGGAGACTTGACAGCATGGAAAGCAGCTTGGATATGACTTATGTACGAGAAGGTTTGTGCTTTGTTCAATTAATTCAAAAGAATAAATTATTCATAACAGTGTAAAAAGCTCAAATACATGATTTTATATCTCTGGAGAATTAACTCTGAAATCGCAAAACCTGAAGCTAAATCCTCTGGCAAGGAAGTGTTATGAACTTTATTTCTAATGTAAAGTAGGCAACTAGGACAAGAAATGGGCTTCCCATGCTGTGTTGTTTGTCACAGTCCTGACATGATGGTTAAAAGGTTTACGACACATTCCCCTTTGCTGATCCCTTGATTTGGAGGAAACGAATGGATCACACCAAGAGTGTTTCTGATTGTCACAAACAGCTGGAATCACTGCAAAAATAAAGAGAACTGTGTCATATCCTAATTTAACTGCCTGCTATAAGGCCTGTGTGTCACAGTGAAGAAATGCCGTTACCACTACCTTCTTAGGATGTGATAGTGAATAAAGATAAATGTTTCAGTGATGAACGTTCAGAAGACAAGAGGAGATATAAATGCTAACCCGATATTTCAAGCCTCCTGTGAAACATTCAAGCCACCTCTTCACTTTTCTTAACACTTGTATAGTACACATGCGGATCTGTTGTAAATAGAGCAAGTAAATTGTCAGAACTTATAATACAAAGGAAGACCTACGCAATTACAAAAACTAAGCCCGATACAGAAATGCTGAAATTAGGTCTGCATTGAGACGCAAATTATCTTCCATAAACAGTGTTTTGTTCTTGTTACAGAAAAAGTATTTTTTTTTTGTAGACCAGTGTCATCCGATAAAAAAATTATATTGTGTTTCTAAAAATCCATCACAATACTTAAACAAATATTTAAAACAAAACATAAAATAAAATCAGTACTCATTTTTACAAATTATTAAAATCTACTACTTTTCACGTTGTCCTGACAATTGTAAAGTACCAAACGTGAAAAATTACTACTTCTCAAGAGTCTCGATTCATTTATTAAATGTATCAACAAGAGCAGAATTTTCACTATTATAAACATTAGTGTATCGCTGGGTTTCAGGACTTTCTAAACTGGTAACACAATAATAAGTTACTGTGCTTTTAAAGCAACTGCCAAATGATGAAAACGAGATACCAGATTTTTCAAATTCGATACTTTAGATTTGACACAATGCCTCACTAGAACTACCAAATATAAGGCAAGGTTCTTTTCTAAATATCTCAGTTGAAAATGTAGGTTTATCTTATACTGGTAGATTAATCTTCCTTGATTAGGATCTAAGTTTTAACATTGCCATTCCATGTCACTAAACTCGTAAATGTTGACGTATCAAATAAACTGCTAAGACAATAAAATATCACCCACATCTGTAATACGTAATTATATTTGCAGTTGTAATCTCAACATTCACCACGAATGTGTCTTGCAATTGCAGGGCAATTCAGACCAAGGACCGGTAGAGAGAATCTCAAATGGCATTGTATCAAATGAAACGTAAGGTGAAAACAAATGCTGAGATTTTGTTACATGAGGCGTATTCGACGAGGCCACGCAGAATCTCAGTTCGATGCCAGGAGAGTGTTAATCTGAGATTTGAATTATTAAAGAAATCAACAAGTGTGGAATATAGAAAATCTGGTGACATAGATGGGAATGTTCTTAAGAGACATCTCATGAAAGACTGAGAAATACACAAAACTCTTAGAGAATCCTAAAAACTCTAAAGATATCAAAGCAAGGAGGTAGGACCAAAAACAAAAAAAAACATTGATACATGTGAAGATAATGAGGGTATTGAGAAAAAACATGATTGATGATTTTAAGAAACAAGAAAATGATAGTTCAGCAATAAGTCTTGATGTTCTCAACAACAAGGCAATTGTCTAGTCAATAAGACAATTTGTAATTTTATTTGGACTAAATAGTAAGAAACACCCTCTTCAAAATTAGGGGTTCAATTTATATTCCGGTAAATATGGAACTACGAATTTTTTTGAAAATAATATATCTCTCCTTTCGGTTTAAGTAGAAGCTTTGTTCATGTCGCCAATCATTATGAAACAAATGCTCATTATACTGTTCTCCCAAAGTGATGTTTCATTTTTATATAACAATACCATGGTCAATACTTTAATATCATTATTAGACAAAGAAATCCAAGATCAAATAGAAAGAGCTCTCAAAAAGATGCCAGGTGGGAAGATATCAGACTAAAGAGTACACTACTAGACTTTTGAAGAACTTGGAATAGTGTAAAAGAGGAGGTTGGCAAATAGGTTTTCAGAAGTTTTGAGAATTCTTTTGTATTTGTTAAAATTGTACATGTCACTGACAAACCTGTATTTCTAATGTACAAGTAATACCAATGGCTGAAGGCATGCTGGTTTCCAGGACCATCATTGCACTGCGGAAAAAAACTGAACCTCATACAATCTTCTTCCGGGAACCTTTACAAAGTATTTATTGCTATTGAAGAAAAAAGTTAAATGCGATTAAATGTTCCGATGTTCTTACCATAATTTGCAAATGTGGCCGGATTTCCTGAACAAATCGTTCCACAACACGAGCTGTGGTTTCAGATGTAACAGGCTGATTATCAAAAGCAGTTTCCAACAAAAATTGGCGCATTTGTGGACGTATCCGGTTCAGAGATTCTCCATTTCCAAACGTCAAGTTTATTATATCAGCAAAACTCATATTGCGACCCTGGGAACAAAATAAAATGACTAATTAATAGTAATATTGAAGAATCTTAATTATCAAGATCTTTGTCTTAAACTGACACTGCTTATTCACATATGCACACCAAACGCACAAGCTGCAAGGTGGAAGAGCAAGCTTTCAGCTGCAAAGATCTATGGGTATAAGTTGGGGAACCCTTCAGTGTAATAGCTAAACAGTTTTGCGAGCATTGTATTCACAAAATGGATAAAATAACTAGACAGTGTGGTGGATAGACACCCAGCAAATGCAAGAATGGGCAATAACAGATTTCTGCACCTTGTTTCAACTGTTATGGCACTGCTGAACTAGGCCTTCTTAGGTAAGAAAAAATAATGTACCGGATTCGTGATTTATTACGAGAATACAGTATTGGGCAAGTGATCAGTTTCTTCTTCTTCTGCTGCTACTCCTGTTCTTACATTTCCTTTGTTTTTCCTCAATTTTTTTTTAATCCTCTCATTCATCTCCTACATCCTTTCTTCTCTCATTGTTTCTGCTCCTTCCTCTCCTTTCTCCTCTTTATCAGCTCGGTGCACCTCGAAAGTCTCTCCGCACCAGGCTAAATCAGGGCTTACTATAAAAATTGCTATCTTGACAGCAACTGGAAACAAGTGAAGGTGATAACACTTCCAGCATCTATTATGATAGTGGTGACAACAAAATTTGTTTTTAAGTTACAGCTCATGCTACTAACAAAAGTTTAGTTTTTAATTGTCATCATCCGCAAAGTGTCACTGCGGAGATATTTTCCTGGTGTGTTAAATTAATGTAACATCACAACTGTAACTCAAGAGTATGCTACACAGACAAGCAGATTGCATCAACTAGGATAACAATGATTCAATGTGCTCAGTTAAGTATTATACTAATAGCATATGTGCATTATACAACAAAAAGGAACCATTTCATTTGGAAAGAAAGGGTAAGAAAAAACAGCAAATAGGAATTCACAAAAATGCACACATACAGAAACATTAAGTCAAATGATATTTTAGACTTTTAGACTACTCGTCTACCCGAGTTTTAACATTTTTATTTGTCTGTATTTAAACATGTTGACTCACAGGATTTGGTAGAGAGAGGAGAGAGGGAGAGAGAGGGAGAGA